GCATAAAAAAAAAAAAAAAAAAAAAGAGGGGGGTGGGGGAAAACCACACACACATGGACAATAAAGGAGATGCACTGCAGTATTTAGGTTAGTAAGTTATTTTATTTACACGTCTCCCAGTTTTCCACTCCACACCCTTACGAAAATAATCTCAGCTCCCATAATTTAGACAAGGGAAGCAAGTGATTGCAGAAAACTGTTGCTGATGAAGAGTCCTTAGTTAAATGGCTATCACATGTAGCCAGGCAGATAACTTAATGAGCACAGTTCTTAAATTATCCAGTTATTGCTAATCCTTTTGTAGGAATACTCCCAAGCCTCAGAGACTCTCCAGCTCTTCATAGTTTACCAAGTCTCAAGGCTTCCTCATTTCACAAAGAGCACAGGGATCTTGCTGCCGTTGTATACAAGACCCCACTTTGGGTTAGTCTTGGAGCGATGTACCTGTACCCTCCCGATCACCACATTGTCCAAGAGTCTCCCAAGTATTTAGCCCTTTCCTGAAATGCACCATGTACCTAAACAACCTCTGGACAACTTCTGCTGACTTCAGCTACTTTCTTGTAGGCAAACCACAATTCAGCTTTGAGCTGTAAGGTAACATTTAGAAAGGCAACTAGTCTGTAAAAATTCAGGTAAGTAATTTCCTGTAAACAGCAACTTAAAACTGAAGACCTATGTTTTCAAATTCCCTACCTACACTACGGTAAAATCCCCCTCCTCTCACCCCATTAAAAAAAACAATCAAAAACTTGTTAGCTTTCCAATGAGCATGGAAAGTGTACTTTGCTATCTAAGCACTAAATGAAGAAGCCACTCTCTGAAGGGAGAGATCATAGGAATCAGAAGCTAAACATCCCTGCCTTCCCGCACCTCTGGTCTCTGTTGACCTTTGTTCACTGGGACAGACAAGAAAATACTGCAAGAGAAATCAGAGCCAGAAGCAGGGGAGATGCAGCTGTAATAAGCCCTGCTCCATGATCGTCACTCCTCACCTCATTTGACAGTTTAGTCAGCTTCAAATACATACCGAACCTGAGCTTCCAAGTCCTCATCTCACAACTAAGCTGCTGTTTCACATGAAGAGAAGGTGTTCAGAACAAGGATGTGCTCTCCAAAACCAGGACCTTTA